GATTAAAGCACATTGATATTAATTATAATTTCATAATAGATTTGATAAAGAATAAATTAATTGAAGTTAAGTATATTGAATCAGCTAACCAAATGGCTGACATTCTTACAAAGGGATTGCCATTCAATTTGTTTAAGACCCATAAAATAGAATTAGGAATGTGTGAACTAGAGTGAGTAAAATGATGAAAAATTTAAGAGTGTTGGAAGTGCAATTTTTCATGAATGTGAGTATTGGTGTAAGCCAAGAGATGGTGCAGTAATCGGTGAGTGGGTGCACTGATGTGGGCATCCGGTGTGTGTGTAAGACAAAATGTACAGTAAGATGTAGTAAAGAGTAATATCCAAGTGAATTGGAGCTTTATTCAAAATAATCACCTCAAATCATCAATGCCATCCAACATTTTCACATAGAGTTAGGAATAGTAATACAAAATTAGGGTGTTACTTTCTAGCTGGAGCGCATGGTGAATTATTCTAAAACTATGACACACGGCATTACAGTCAATTACGTAATATCATGTATAATCACAGTTATTAAAACAAACTTTATGTCCTGCTTCTTGCTTCTGAATATTATTAAAAATATGTGTGTACCTTTAGCTGTGTTGTCAGCTGAAAGGGCCCATTTCCAATAAATTTCTCCAACAGATAAGCAATCTCCATCTTCAAGACTTCTGTTTCAGCACACATTCAGTTCAGAATCCTTTCTAGAATTAATTAAAAAAGCAAATGTAAAAAGGTAACATTGTTCCTGTGATTAATTGAGAAATGTGTCATGATGATGTATGAGTGAGTAGAGATATAGCTCCATGCATTCTTAACCTTGGCATTAAATGGAGGTGGATGGTTAGCTTCTTGTTTTAGTTGCTACTTATTCCCCAGTAACCACTAGACAAGAGGCTGGATAGGCCTCAGAAGTCTGGATGCATGGTGAAGAGAAAAATCTCTGCCACTGCTCAGGAATGAATCCTGATTCTCCAGTTGTCCAGACAACAGCCTAGTCACTTTACTGAGTGAGCTATGCCAGCCTCAGTTAAAGAGGTATTTCATTAATTTAAATGGATAATGATAATTAATTACATTTTTATAATGGTAACTGTTACCACATTAAGAGATCAAATAAAAAATTACTATTTTAACAGTACTTTGTACAAAATGAGAACAAATTGAACAACAAATATATCACATACCTTGTCTCTTTCTAATTTTTGTTCTGATTCTTCTAAAATACTTAAGAACTTTTTCCAGTCACCACCTAGGCCATTTAATAGGTTTATGAAGTCTTCAGTGATTTCTACCTCATATTTTACTGCAGAATAAAGTGAAAGTGATTTAGTTTAAGATATAATATTAAACAACATTTCTACAGAATACACAATTTTAACAAAAAAAAATATATATTTAACTTACATAAAATATCATATTGATCCCTTATTACTGGAAAAATTGCTTCTCTCTCTGGAATCTCACTAAATAATCTCTGGTGCACTGCATTAGCTTCTTCGAGTTCTTTGTGTGATTGTGGTATCCTCAAAACTCTGTAAAGCATATACTAAATGAAAAGGATCTATATTCTAACACTTAATTACTGTGGTATATATTTACTTCATGGAGCAGAGACCTTCTTGAAACCTTAAGAGTCAACAGTTACTTAACCCCTCAAGCGTGTGCAACACACCATATGCATCCACTCAGTTACATGCATCTAGCGTGAATTTAAGTGGGGATATTTAAATCCCTCCCGGTGCTTTATTTTCACAAGCATTGAAGGTTTTGTGAAGACATTTACCTAAATATTTTTAAATAACGAAATCGCTATTTGAAAAATTCCAAAAAATTATATTATATTTACAATGGTTTACAGTTCATTATTATAAATGTGTATTTACATTTTGTCAAGCTATTTCTTTTTCCCAGCTCTCCATATCCAGTGTCTAGTAGTTGACCTTGGTGCGGTATTGCTCAAAACAAAGGTCCAGGCAGAGAGACGGTGTCCCTGGTCAGTTTTTACACCTGTATCTGGTTTGTTTTCTCTTTCCGTTTTTTGTACACACCACACACCTTCTTCTTCCAACTTTATAAGTTTCAGTTTTGGGATTTTCTTGAATGAAATGCTGTCCCGTCAATCTCGTACATTCCATGTCGGTATCTGAAGGGCGCCCTTTGCGCTTTTCTAAATTCTGTGCATGGGACTTTGATATGATCTTATTCACTAAGTTTATTCTGAATAACCGATGATCTTTCTTGTTACCAGCCTTGCAGTACAGAAGGTAAGCATTCAACACTGCCGTATTTACTAAGTGGTTGAATAATTTCTTGTACCACGCTTTTTGCCTTCTCCTTTCTAGCAAGAATGTTTCTAGTAGCTGATCTTTCAAGTCTACACCTCCCATATATTTATTATACACTATTACACACATAAGTTTATTTACAAAATCTAACCCACCCTTTCGAGTTATGGGATGCATTTTGTCTGAATGTTTAGTAGTCAGCACTGAGACATCGCGCTTATCCTTCCACTTCAACACCACCAATTTCCCACACTTTGCACTAACTACCTCTCCTTTCTTCAGTTTCTTTTTTAGATCTACTGGCATAACTTTGCGCATGATACTCACTGTTCCAACAGCATCTGTTGTCCTCTGAACTAATCTCTGGAAAAGATCGGGACTGCTATAAAAAATTGTCCATATAAACACATCTGCCCAAGTCTCATAGTTTCTCACACAAACCTAGAACAACTTTTGTTGAGAAAAGATCTGTGTCTTTGGTGATTTCACAGCCTAATTTTATCCATGATCCACTGTAAATTATAAAATTCCACAAGTATCCTGCGGAATCATAAAGTTCAAAAATTTTAATCGCAAACCGTGAAGCTTTCATAGGGATATACTCTTTCCACGAAAGTCTACCTTTCCACAATAACAAAGATTCGTCAACACTTACTTCTTTGCCCGGTATGCACACTTTCTGGAACTTATTTTTCAAATATTCACTTACCGGAAGAATTTTGTACAATTTAGGATCTCTTTGTGCAATTTCCTTATTGGTGTTATCTATAAAATGGAGAAATCTGGTCAGCAATGAAAACTTTTCTTCGCTCATTACATTGGGAAAATATGGGGTTTCTAACATATGTTTCCTACTAAAATACATCCTGAGATTTGGTTTCTGAATTGCCATCAGCATAAGCAAACCTAGGAATACCCTATTTCATTCGAAGTTGTGGGAACCCAGTTTTGAACGCGCGATTTTATTTGCATCAGGGGCAAGAAACTGTCCCACCAGACAAGTTACGTGACCAAATGACATGGGGCTCCGATAAGAGAGTGTCGCAAGGCAGAAAAGGAATAACAAATTCATAAATGTTGACACAGGCGTCAAGCAACTTCGACCCCTACGTTTGTAACATTGTAAATCAGACACAGCTTCTTTGTCGCCAGTAAGCCAAGGCAGTAATAAAAAATACACACACAGATAACAAGCACTCAATGAATGTTAGTTTTCAAATTACCTCTCTCAAAGCAAGTCGGAATCTCAGTGGGAACAATTCTTTCGTAAGCAGCAGACACCAGACGCTTTGTAGCAAGCAAAGCGAGTAAAAAAAAATACCACACACAAAATGATAGCGAGGAATGAAAGAAGTCAGTATTAGCTCACATACACATTCGCTGCAATTACATATATCAGAGCGTGGGCGTTAAGAATTCTTAGTGAAAAGTTTGGACACAAGTTATGGGACGCGAACGAATAGAGCATGGGTTTGAGCGGATGCAGATGCTGTGCAGCACACGCTTAGGGATTTAAATGGCTCCGCTTAAAGTCACACTCAAGGGATTAAGGAATCTCCATCATTTTTGGAACCTCAGAATTAATTACCATGTTCCCAAGTTCCTGCCACTGGATCATATTCTGAACAAGATGAATTCAGTCCATATTCTCCAACCATATTTCTTTATAGTAAATTGTAATGTTATTCTCACATCTTTTTCTAGGTCTCCTAATAAGCCTATTTCTTTCATGTTTTGGGGCCAAAGTTTCAGGGACATATCTACATCCATGTACAGTACTTGTGCCTCAGGTAATTTGCATACTACTGTACAAAGGCAAAAATGGTTATTTGAAAATTCTCAGGCATGAGACTGAAAAATCAACATCTGAATAGGTATCAAGATAGTTTTTCTCAATATGATCTTGAGAATTCAAGACTTGCACATGCATAACACTAATCATATTCTCCTTTACACTCAATACCAATACAATAGTTAGTTAGTTAGTTATTTAGAGAGGGTGGGTTTCCCCATGCACCGCGACCAGTTTGATCTATTGTGCTTCCCTCTATGATATTATACCAGTCTCTATATCCTACCAGTACTGGTGCTTACCATCAGTCCCGCCCAGCCAGCAAGACCGGCTCTACTAGCTGAGAGGTATCTATAATGCTTGCCCCATCTACCAGAGGTATTAGAGACTGCTGTTGGGCAAGAAACGTCCGTAATTTTGGCTCAGTGACCTCCTTTGGAGATATGAGGTTTTTTTACGTGCCGTAAAGCTACAACACGGGACCCACAGTTTAAAGTCCCTCCCGGAGGACTTGTTCCCTGAATTTTTCCGCCCTTAAAAATTCAACGACCTCCGCTGGGTATTTGAACCCGCGTACTACAAGTCGTGAGGTGGGAATGTTTTCTCTAGACTACGGAGGCCGCTCTACCAATACAATAAGTTTCAAAATAAAAATATAACTAGTACTGTATTATAATAATGCATTCTGCACAAAATTCATCATTAATTATTCCATGCATAATCTAATGCACAATATTTCATACTTCTCTGAGTTCTCCTTGGTGTAGTGGTATGAGTCCCTGATCCTGTTATAAGTAAGTTGAAGAAGAAGTTTAGCCAGTTTGTCCTGCCAGATACAGCAATGTTCAATAATGGAATGCTTTAACTGCATTGAATTTATCATGATGAAATGAACAGGTGAAACTGACTCTTGTAGCTGAACATTATTAACAACACCAGTGCATCTGAAACAGTTCATAAAATATATGAAAAGCATTTGTAACTTTTTGCTAAGACCATGTTCATGTAATTTACTTCACACTTATATTTTGCAAAATATATGCCTAAAAATTTACATATCTTGGCCAGATCAAGAATCCAAATGGACAATAATAAGAGAGGAAGGCGAATAGAAGGCAAATTGGATAGTAGCAACACGATGACTTTGAGATCCAAAACTGATAACAGAAGAGAGCACCAGATACCTTCTCCAGCCTGTGAATTCTTTCAATGTGACCTTCACAATCAATTCTTGCCTGAGAACGTGCACAGTGAAAGGAAAATATGTACTGCCCTCTTCTACATGTCTTGGGACTTAGACTCATAAGGGGAACTTTCTTCCATTGTCATCTCACACAGATAACAATTACATGTTAACCTGCTCTACATGGATGACAGTAACAAAGAATTATTGGGAGAATGGAGAAATTTTCATATTCTTTTTAGGTAGGATTATTTCCTTTACTCATGGCCAAAATGACTACTGGCATAAATGGAACTTACAGTTTACCTTATGGATGTACTTCTTTTGGCTTATTTTGGACTTCACCTTTCAAGTCTATCTTATGGATGTAACTTACCTTCTTATATCTGCATCAAAAGAAGAAACTGATGGTTTCAGGTTCTCATATCTTTGTATAAGTAGATCTGTGTTCACTTCCCATAAGTCTCTGAATGATTCCCAGATTTTCAGATAGTTTTGGATCTGGCTGACAACAGTTGCCATCTCTACATTAAATAAGAATGAAAGAAGTTACCATCTAATTAAGATTATTACATCATTTAGCCCTCATCATTTTCTATAGAAAATTGTTAGCTTAATTAATGTTAAGGAAAGATAATAAAAATGGAGTTACCTAATTTTGAAAGGAAATTTATAACTAATTTTTGACAATAAAAGAGAAAAAGCTGTTATTGTTTATTTCACTGTATACTCATACTTTCATCGCTGCTTTACATAGGTTCTTGTTGCATTCATTTGTAACAAAGCAGTAAACTTAAAGAAAGCTACTTTCATCCCTGCTTTGCATGGGTACTGGTTGCATTCATTAGTAAAGAAGGATTAAAATTACAGAAATTTGTTAATTTATTCAAGCACATCTAATCACAATATACTCATCATCTTGGACAGAAGAAACACAGTATAAGAGAAGTAGAGGGGCTACGTTGTAAAGACTGTGCCTACATATTGACATCAGTAATGTTAGCAACACTCCTTCACACAGGAGACAAGACAAGAATAACTAACATCAGTCCTGAAAAGGGATGCTGCTGCAGATCTGGGAACATGGGAGAAACAAGCTGTGAGGATGTGATGGGCACAGAACAGAGGAGAATGGAGAAAGTTAAGTGCTTTGGCTATAGGCATACAGTAGGGGTTAAACAGGGCAAGAACAGTGGAGGGAGGCCAGGAGTGGACGTTAAGGCTTGGTGTTCATGGGTGCCCAGAGATGACAGAGTTGATGCTCTAATAATGATAATGTGCATGGGCCTATGTGACACTGTGGAGACCCCACTATATAAAATCCTACAAGGGTGGCTTTTCAAGATCTTTCAAGGAGTTGATAAGAAGTTTCCAGGAATCTTGCACTCCGATTGGTTCCCTCTGTTCTGAGAGGGCCATTGGGAACTAATGAGTTGTCTTACTGTCCCCTCTTATTTCCTATATAAACCCAAGCTTTCTGGCAAGCTCTGCTTTCTACACGCTTCAAGCTGGTTTCTTGCTTCACTTATTCTTCATCCTGAAGATGGAGGCAACATGTTCGCCTGAAACGTCAGTTGATTTTCAATGGACCACACAGAATTATAGCCAAGAAGGTAGAATTCTTCACAACCACTGCTTGGAGAAAACTTCAAATCCTACATATTGACAATACAGTTTTGAATTTGAGATGTATTCAAATTTATCAAAGGCTGAAAGAGCATTATTAAGTTCACTGTCACATGGGCTGCATTTGCAATATACCTACATCTATCAGGGTGAAATTTGCTTCTTATTATAATTTAAGTGTCATTTAAGATATGCATTCTAAAATTGAGTCTGCCCAAACCAAAACCACACCAATATCTGTGTTCATTTTTAAGAAGAAAAAATATGAGTAAAATAAAAATAGTCCTAGAAAATATAACTAGGGATAATATAAAAAATAGTTTACATTCCTATGTTTAACCTTTAACGTCCGAAGTGCCCTGATCGGGCCAGTGATGAGTGTGATCATTGTGGCCAAAGTACCCCGTTTTGGCCAGTCAGGCATTTTAACTCCGCTAGTGGAAGTGCGAGCACACTCTGCTAGTAGAAGCGCATGCACAGTCCTTAATATTTATTTTTATATGTAGTAATTACCAGACCGACTTGAGTAAAACCCTAATAGAGGAATTAAAATGATATCTAAGTGAACAACAACAAAAAAGAGTATACGTATGAGTTATGTCCAAAATTAAACCTGAGCCAGTACTTTTATTGCAGATTCTGCGGATTAATGTGTTAAAATATATATAGTAAAATTTGATGTGCATATCTTTTTTGTTGTTATCTGCTTGATGTATATATATAGGTTGAAATGAAACTACAGTATTCAATTTCACTATGAACGCACAGAAAACAGATCGCACTCTGTATCTCAGCCACAATGCAACTGTCTGTTCAGGACCACAGAAAGGGCAGTAATCACTTGCAGCTGTAACGGAAGGTCTTAGCACTGTAGAAGAGTGTAACAAAGTTGTAACGTTATCCAGCAGAGAACCAAATGATTTTATTGCTTCCATCTGTTGTATGACACCAGGGACTGCTAAAATTTGTAAAGTGTTACAAACAGAAATGAATCTATAATGTAGAACAACTCTGTGAAGAACTGGGAAACAATTTTTACAGCATGCATCAAAATTAAAAGAAAAAATTGAAAATAGTGTACAACACTTTTTACAAAAATTTTCAAATTTTCCGTTATAATATGCAACACTATGTTCTTTGCTGATACAAAGTTAATTCATAAAAAAAATCATAAAAATTGTGTTAGATACAGCATTTTTAAACACAATGCTTAAAATTGTTTAAGCACCCTAACACGAATGGACATTTAAACATGCACTAGCAACGGGCATTTAAATAAACTCCGGCCAGCTCAAGCTTACCACCATTTCAAAAGTCCAGTGTTTAAAGGTTAAAAAATCTTTAATTCCTACTGCTCTCCATCTACCTTGACGGATTGGGCTTTCCGGCCCGTTCCCATTCAAAATTAATTATGAAATTATGAATCTTATAGACAGTTGGTAGGATTCCTTGGGAAAAAGAAAAGAATAAGTTTCAGACTATGGTTTTCTTGGTTGTGACACTGCAGTCTTATAGGCAGATACTGACATTTCACTTCATACTGCAACCCTGAAGGCAGAGGCAGCATGTTCTCTCAAACGTTTATATCTGGCTACAAAACCTCATGAGAGGACTACAGTCTTCATAGTCACCGCCATTAAAACCTCAAAACTTATGACAGAGTAAGATTTAGTTGCAACTATAACTATTCCTACCACAAATAAACGAAGATGTATGTTTCAACAAATTTCTTTCATTCCTTAAAACAAGTTTCTATCTCTCATACAAACAAGAACATCTTAGGATTGCAACCCAAGTCAATTGCAAAACTAAACTCCTTACCCCCATTATGAAATGACACATTACAGTGATAAAAAAAAACCATCCACACTATGCTAGACTGATGCACTTCCTTGTTACATGTTTTTTACACCATACATGAATAAATGCATAATTATGTGTTAAGGTCTGTCAATTCAGTTATTTGCCTCTCCATCCCTCCGCCCCATGTTTCTCCTTCAAAACCACTTGACATCTGATTGATATTTAGTTTAGTGGGTCTATACGAAATAAGACATATCCTATAGCAAACTTTGGTAACAAGAGTGTTGAACTTTGAGGCCTATTATGACAAAATTAGTTATCCTTACCTTGAGTTATTAAACCCTGCTGCCATTTACACTCATCATCTTTCTCCACAGCTGCCCAGAAGGCCTGCATATTGTGAGGTGTAAGTTTAAATTTCTCAGCCAGACGTGGAATGGGCATGAGACTGTCCACTATCCCAGGCAATGTACTTGTAATAAGAGTGGCTACAGTTGTGAGTGATGGCTCAAAACTTATCTGCAAAATTAACATATATAGCTGAACACTCTGAAATTACTGTAGGGTGGTATGCATGACAAGAATGACAGGTTCTAGTTTGGATGATTGGATTTATTGGCACTTCAGTTACAACCTCTCTTAATTACAATCAATAAAGTGCTATCGCTGATCTACACGTTTTACAGTTCACCATTGCACACGCACTAAGATTCTCTGTTTTCACTAGTCGCCTCCTAGCAACAGATCTCAATACAGAAACTGTCACTTCAAATCACTATGAAGTCTTCTTGTCTTCAATCACTCTGTACTCCTCTGACCTAATCTGTACTCAGTCTTCACAATTCATGCTCCAGTCTCGTTCTTGTACTCTCAAATGCTGAAGCCTCTTGAACTCTCCACTAACTTCAATTTAAACAGGTCTTCATTATACAGACACCACATGGACAACACCGAAAACAAGTCACATGATAACTAGTACTGTTGGAGCGTGACACCACTGCACCTGTGAAGAAGTTTGTTTACCGAGCCGTTGCATAACCTCATTGTTCCACTGTTGCGTGGGTGTATCACAGGGTGTTTACCAGGCCATTGCCTAGCAGTGTTCTGGCCATCCACGTTACAATATATGTCATGGCCGCGCCATAACTCAAGTGATTAGTCGCTGGCTTTCCACAGCAGTGGCCAGGGTTCGAGCCCGTGTCTGGTCAAGTGGGATCTGTGGTGGACAAAGTGGTGCTGGGCAGGTTTTCTCCGAGTACTTCAGTTTCCCCTGCCAATCTTCATTCCACCAAATTCTCCATCATCATAATCACCCGGGGAAGGTACAATAGGCCGATAAGTGGCCAAGGTGCAAAGTGGACCCAGCTGGACTCCACCACCTACTCATCATCATCAGTAATCTGTCAAGACGACAGGTCCACAGTCTCTTCCAAAACAATTCCTCCACTTAATGCGATCTAGAGCTTTCTCCTTCAAATGACAGTATCCTCTTCTGTCCCCAAGGTCATCCAGCATCTTCTTACGTCTTCTTCCTCGTCTTCTTGTCACTTCTATCCGCCCATCTATCTTTCCTTCGATAACTTCTTTTAGAAGGCAGTTTCTGCGTAAAACATGACCAATCCAATTAGCCTTCCGTTTTCTTATTTCATGTAGGATATTCCTCTGCTCACTGACTCTAATTAACACTTCTTCATTTCTCACATAATCGGTCCAACTGATCTTCTCCATTCTTCTCCAACACCACATTTCGAAACTTTCCAGATGTTTCTGATCTACTGCCCTAAGTGTCCATGTTTCAGCCCCATACAGAGCTATGCTCCAAATGTAGCATTTCACTAGTTTCTTCCTCAAATTTAAGTCCAATTTGCTGGTAAAAAGATTCTTCTTCTTGCTAAATGCAGCTTTTGCCATGGCAATCCTGGATTTAATTTCACAAGTACACCTTCCATCATCTGTTAACAAGCTACCCAAATATTTAAAACATTTCACATTCTCCACTTGTTTTTGGTCTATCTTTATTGTGACTGGGGTTGGTTGTCTCGAAATTTTCATTACTTTTGTTTTCTCCACATTCATTTCCATGCCATAGCACCTTCCAATTTCAATTAGTCTATCAATCATGCCCTGTAGCACAGTTTCTTCCTTAGCCATTAACACAAGGTCATCTGCATATTTCACAGTTTGAATAATTTGCCCTCCTACTTTGAAGTCTCCGAGCCCATCCAGAGCTTCCTTGGTAAGGCATTCGCTGTACAAGTTGAACAGAATTGGTGATAAACAGCATCCTTGTCGAACTCCTCTTCCAATCTGCACACTCATCACCTACTATGCGAATAAAAAAAAAGTAATAATAAAATACAATATATGTCATAAGTACCAGCATCCTATAATGCAGTCCAGTGTCTAATTCATAAAAATGTTATAGAAAAACGTATTATAATCAGCTCCTTTCAAATGCATCCAAATTTTAGAGACAATGGTAAAATCATGACATATTGTTTTAATTATAGAATATTTATATTCTGATAGCTAGTGCCTGACTGTTAATTTGTTTTACCATAACATTGACTACAAAGAAATTGAATCTCAATAACTATTTGATTTCTATATGAAGCATTTTTATATGGTACATGCAGTATTTTAAGACATGCAAGAAAAAAATAATTTGACTGTATGCTTCCTAACATCAGAATTATAACTACAATAAATAAATATCTGGCTGAATTATACAAAATGTGCAAAATCGCTTGTAATACACACAGAAAAAATTTTTCATGGATTACATGTTTGAAATTCGTTTTTTAAACAGAGTCTTATAAATTAAAAGAAAGGAAGATTCATTACACAGCAATTCTCATCCATTGAGATTTACTTTTCTTTTTACTTACTGCACTGTTCTTGAGAGTGGCAGAGACTTTGAGAATTTGTGTTGGACCAGTAGTTCCATCCCCATGCAAAGCTTCTAACATGACCTGGAGAGATGCCCTTACACACTGTTTTAAAGCCTCTTCAATAACACCATCCATTTTATTAATGTAGTGAACCCAATGTTGGCTCATCTAAAAAATAATTTAGTTGGCTTCCTCACTATACTGTGTTGAGTACGAGGGGGTACCTAAAAGAAACCGAACTTATTTTTTTTTAACTTATTTATTCAACTTTTAAGCACAAACCTTCAGTCCCCTTCAAAGTACTGTCCA